CCTGGAAAACAGGGGAGGCAGAGGAGCTGGGCAGGGCATGGGGCATGGGGCAGGGGGTCGTGGGGCGGGAGGAGGCATGTTGGTGTGGATTGATGCAGTAGGTTAGGGCCTATGGAAGGAGCCTGTTTCATAGATTCTGAGGCCGGAAGGGGTCACTGTGATCATCTGGTCTGACCTCCTGTATAGCACAGGCTACGGACCGGCCCCGGGATAATTCCTGGAGCAGATCTCGTCAAGAAACCTCCCATCTTCATAGAACGATGGCCAGCAATGGAGAATTCTAGAAAGGGACGTGTGAGCCTGTAGTAAAAATGCCTGGAATTCGGGGTGGAATTCCGGCTCCCCAGTTTGCTAGAGCACACGCAGCCGTAGTGATGAGGACCTGGCCATGCTTCAAGAGGCACCAGGAGACTCTTCACACTCTTTCCTCCCTTAGGCAACAGCGAGACGAAGACAGGGAGGAGGACGTCTTCTGGAGAGAGGAGCCTCAGAAGCCCTCCTGGAAATGTCCTGTTAAATCAGCTCTGATCTCTTCAGAAAGTCCCCGTTGCTGGGGACCAGCCCCTGTCTATGCTGCAGGAGAAATTCTGCACTAAGTAGGCTGGGCTAGGTGCTAGGGCCTTATGGCCTCTGGCTTTATGAAGCCACTTAACTCTCCCCGGACATGAGCCCGGCTGTTCCAAGGACATCACCAGCATTTCATTTCCCAGCATCATTGCCCTGATGCTTTCCAAAGCCCCTTACTAAGGCGGGTGAGTATTACCGTCCCCCTTGTACAGACAGGGATGCTCAGGCAGCGAGAGAGGAAGCAGCCCCACCAGGAAAGCAACCCAGGTCTCCTGTCTCCATCCAATGGGGAATGTGGCTTCTAGGCTTGCACCGCGCCATGCTTTCCAATTCTCCTGCTTCCCCAGCCTCCGACACCCCTCTGCTTGCCCATTCCACCAGAGATGGGCTAGAACGTCCCCATGGGGTTCTGAACTTGCTCTGAGTTTGGGGTTCTTGGGACCTAGGATTCCAGTAAGACAGCAATGTGCTTCTTGAGGATGCAGGCACGAGCCAAGGAAGAGGGTTGGCCTGGCCCATCTTGACAGCGGATTTGATGCTCGCTGGCTAAACTCCTGAAGCCCTATGTAGCAAATGCCTGCAAGGCTCGAAGTGGCAGCAGCGCCCCCTGAAGTCACTGGGAGACCAGGTACGCAGCCCCTCTGCCAATCAGAGCCCAGTTCATTAGCTCCTTTTGTACATGGTGCAGGAGTTAGGAGCTAGACAATCAATTAAAGGCCTGGAAACTTAGGCTCAGCTCCTCCAAGGGAGTGAACTGTCTCCACACCTTTGAGGATCTGGCCCTTAGAGATCAGACTCTGTCTCAGCAATAGCAAAGCTGCATCTGCAGCCCACCATGGGGCACAAAGTCACGTGCCCATCCTCATCTCACCCTCACTGGGACTGCAGTGGACGGCCCTAGCGCCAGCTCTGTGTGTACAAGTGTCCACATCAGAGACATCACCACTGCAGCTGGCACTAAGAGCTTGACTACACATGAAGTTATTCCTGATTAGGTCCGTGTGTAGACGCTCTTATTCCAGATCAAGCATCCTGTCTCCACTGCTGCTACTGCCAGGAGGAATGCCGGCTCCCAGGTTTGCTAGTGCAGATGCAGCCTTGGAGATGAGGATGTAGCAAGGGTTACAAAAGGCATCAGAAGACTCTTCAGACTCTTTCCTCCCTTGTGCAACAGTGAGTGTGCCTTGATTCCTGCTTACCTCTTCAAGGCACGCTTATTCTGGAATAAGAGTGTCCATATATGGAGTGAATCAGGAACACTTCATTAGGAGCAACTCCATGTGCAGAGAGGGCCAGGTTGGGGACAGCCATGCCTTTTCCCCACTCGAGGGCACCCACGCTTATCAGCAGAGGGAAAGAAACACCGGCCATGTTGACCCAGGATATATAGGCCGACTTCATGATTGCCCATCCAGCACCGTTCTTAAGCACCAAAAGTCTCTCTCACACGCCCCTATCGTGGGAAAGGCCCAGCAGTGTAACCTGGAGACACAACACTGGCCTCAGTTGCCTTGACTTTCTGATATGTAATGTTATATCATAGGCAGGGTTGGGGGAGTTCGCTTTGTTTGGCATTTCCTTGGTCTTTGGAAAACAATGTTGTCCTTGTATGGAGAGACTGAGCTGGGTCCCTTTAGATTCAGGCACTTATACAATAACATTCATTATCGTATTTAAATCAGCTCTACATTGCTGGAGAGGAAACAGAGTCAGTATGACCAAGCTCAAACATTTACAAAGCAAGAGGCAGGCCCCCAAAATCATGAGACTGGCTTACAAATCACGAGATTTAAAAATACTCAATAATACACTTGTGGTTGTGTTTCTTTGTCACCTGGTTTCAGAGCCTTTGGGATAAACTCCCTTCGTGTTTTCGGTAGGGCTGTCGATTAATCGCAGTTAACTCACGCGATTAACTCAAAACAATTAATCGCAATTAATCACAGTTTTAATCACACTGTTAAACAATAGAATACCAATTGAAATGTATTAAATATGTGTGGATGATTTTTTACATTTTCAAATATATTGATTTTAATTGCAACACAGAATACAAAGTGTACAGTGCATGCTTTATATTATCATTTTTTATTACAAATATTTGCACTGTAAAAATTATAAATTAAAGAAATAGTATTTTTCAGTTCAGCTCATACAAGTACTGTAGTGCAATCTCTGTCGTGAAAGTGTAACTTACAAATGTAGGTTTTTTTGTAACATAACTGCACTCAAAAGCAAAACAATGTAAAACTTTAGAGCCTACAAGTCCACTCAGTCCTACTTCTTGTTCAGCCAATCGCTAAGACAAACAAGTTTGTTTACATTTATGGGAGATAATGCTGCCCACTTCTTATTTACATCACCTGACAGTGAGTACAGGCGGTTGCATGGCACTTTTCTACACGGCATTGCAAGGTATTTACATGCCAGATATGCTAAACATTCATATGCCCCTTCATACTTCAGCCACCGTTCCAGAGGACATGCTTCCATGCAGACGATACTCGTTAAAAAAATAATGCGCTAATTACATTTGTGACTGAACTCCTTGGAGGGAGAATTATATGTCTCCTGCTCTGTTTTATCCGCATTCTGCCATATGGTTCATGTTATAGCAGTGTCAGATGATGACCCAGCACATATTGTTCATTTTAAGAACACTTTCACTGCAAATTTGACAAAACGCAAAGAAGGTACCAATGTGAGATTTCTAAAGATAGCTACAGCACTCGACCCAAGGTTTAAAAATCTGAAGTGCCTTCCAAAATCTGAGAGGGACGAGGTGTGAAGCATGCTTTCGGAAGTCTTAAAAGAGCAACACTCTGATGCGGAAACTACAGAACCCGAACCACCAAAAAAGCAAATCAACCTTCTGCTGGCAGCATCTGACTCAGATATGTAAATGAACATGTGTCAGTCCACAGTGCTTTGGATTGTTATTGAGCAGAACCCGTCATCAGCATGGACATATGTCCTCTGAAATGGTGGTCGAAGCATGAAGGTACATATGAATCTTTACTGCATCTGGCACATAAATATCTTGCCATGCGAACGCCTGTTCTGACTTTCAGGTGACATTGTAAACAAGAAGCGGGCAACATTGTCTCCTGCAAATGTAAACAAACTTATTTGTCTTAGCAATTGGCTGAACAAGAAATAGGACTGAGTGGACTTGCAGGCTCTGAAGTTTTACATTGTTTTATTTTTGAATGCAGGCATTTTTGTACATAATTCTACATTTGTAAGTTTAACTTTCATGATAAAGAGATTGCACTACAGTACTTGTATTACATGAATTGAAAAATGCTATTTTTTTTGTTTTTATAGTGCAAATAGCAATGAAAAAGAAATACAAAGTGAGCACTGTACACTTTCTATTCTGTGTTGTAATTGAAATCAATATATTTGAAAATGTAGAAAACATCCAAAATATTTAAATAAATGGTATTCTCTTATTGTAAACAGCACGATTAATCGCGCGGTTAATTGCGATTAATTTTTTGAATCCCTTGACAGCCCTAGTTTTCAGGCTTTTCTCTGAAATCAGCAGAGCTAGACACGTCCCTTTTTAGGCATGAAAGCTCAGATTTTCCTGCAGTCTCTTGATTCCAGAAGCTGGAGCTTTAAGAAACTAACCAGATGTCGTGAGCCTTGTGATAAACTCGCAAGAGCTGGCAACACTGCAGCTTCTGGCTGCGCCTCAGGGGTCAGTGGGGTGCTGTGGCCGTTTACCAGAGGCAAGAAGCAGCCAGCTCTCACTGCCAGCCAGCTGACAGAGTGTATTCCTCCCACCAGTGCTGAATTCATTAAGTGCAGAATATTTTGCCCCCGCGCCCCATGAAATGTCCTTTCGGATTGGCACTTATCTACACTGAAAAGGGACACACTAGTTCAAATAAAGATGTGGATAAAATTAAAGAAGAAAATAGTCAATTGAGATCCTACCTACCCTCCTCTGGTCAGTTTCACCCTGCCTTAAACACAGATACCTGATGCATTGCTAGCTACTCAATCCACCATCCGTATTGCCAAGCCATGGCGCCAGGGGTTCAGATCAGAACAGCTGACATAACTGTATGGATGGACGGCAGGAGTCCAGTCAGGGTGTTGCTGAATAAAGCTGTTCCTTAGACGGAATCTTCTCCCCATCCTCCATGAAAATACCGGTTTTCCACCGTGGTCCTTGCTCTCATTGGAGTTACAGCTACTGGTGAGATTTGAACAGTAGCCAGCAGGTGGAGCCATTGCACCTCTTTTGGTCCCTCAGTCTGAGCAGAAAAGTGTGTATGTGTGTGTGTGTGTGTGTGCGTTTCTCTGGTGTTGCAGCAAGTCCCTGAAAACTGTGCAACTGCCCAGAAGGAAAATAAAAGGAAACCAAGATGAACCCAGGGTGTTGGCTCCGTGCCGTCTGCGCCTTTGGCGTGTTTAGTTGTTGCTTTCGGGACAGTTCGCAATCGTTCGGGGCCTCCCGCCACCTCGCATTCCCACGAAGATCCAGGAGGGGGCGGATTCCAGGGCGCAAGAGAGTTACCCAGATCTAAGGGAACAAACCAAAGGCACAGAGTTAGGAAGGGGTCTGGGATTGGCACTGACCCACCTAGCACTTGAGACAAAGAGATTCGCTATCGACGTAGGGCTCAAGGTGGGCTCTGTGCTTGCCAGACAGAAGGAGACAATGTTCCTAATCAGAGCAGCTTAAGGGCTCAGTGGGCATGTGGCTTTGCCCTCCTCGCCCTCACTCGCCGTGGGAAGGCCCTGACGGAGGTCGGGGCCCCATGGTACTGGGTGCTGCGTAGACACAGCGTAAGAGACAGTCCCTGCCCCAGAACACTGCCAGACTGAACACACCCAGCAGACAAAGGCCGGAGGGGAGGGACGAGGATCATCCACACTCTACAGAGGGGGAATTGAGGCGGAGAGATTCAGGGGCCGATGGGTCACACAGGCGTCCTTGACAGAGGTGGCCACTGAACCCAGCTCACTGCTCTCACCACAAGGCGTCCCCCGTTCCCGGGGCGCTGACGCCCTCACAATGTAAGAGAGACTCTCAGTTTTCATCCCCAAGCCATTTCCAGCCCTTTTCCTCGGGGGCATGGTGGGGGGCGGGGAGAGCTGGAGTTTGTGACTGGGCACTGCCTCTCCGTGCTGCCCATCCTTGCAGCCGCTGGAACACACACGGCTCCCCATCCCCTGATCACAGCATGGGGGAGGCTACCGCTGCTGGGGCCAGGGCTGCTACAAACTCCCTCCCTTCCTGGTGGCTGCCTCCTGCTGAGCCGAGCCCTCTGCTAAACAGCCAATGCAGCCCGAGAGCCAAAGCTTTGCAGGGGAGAGGCAGCTCCCCGCAGCAGATCGGGGCCTGCTCGTCTACACTGAACAGCTTGGCTGGCGTAGCTCTGTCAGTGAGGAGTATGACAAAATCACACGGCCCAGAGCTGCACCCACGCCGGCAAAAACTCCCGTACAGACGCTGCTGTGCCAGCAATCGGCCTTGTGCTGGGGGAGCTTCTTTTGTGTGGTCTGAGCTCTGGGGCGACCGCACTCTGGTGACTGTATGAGCCGGATCCCCACGGGGGGGACTTGCCAGCCTAGCCCTGGGTCGGTATTGCTATACACCAAACCCTTGGCAGTGTAGACAAGACCAAAAAGCTCCTGACTCAGAACCAGGAAACTGACCCTTTCTGGGAGCTTAGACAAGTCACTTCCCACGCCTGATTCCCCCACCTGCTGGTAACAGCTGGTTACTTGGCTGTATTGTAACGGTTCTTTGAGATGTGGGTGCAGCCACGCCCCATGCCCGGGGCACCACAGCTGGAGACTTGCCTAGCAGTACCCCAGGGGCAGCTCTCACTTCCCTCCCCACAGTCCCTCCCAGGGCTCCATAAGGGTGGTGCTCCCCGACCCCCCTCAGTTCCTTCACACCGAAATCCCCGGCTGGAGACTCCAATGGAGAGGGGTGCAGGGTGGGTCGGGGAACATGTCTGCACCCACATCTCGAAGAACCACCATTACGATACAGACCCATAACTGTCTTTTCTCCTTCGAGTGGCTGCAGACGGGGGTTTCACTTGGGGGACTCTGGGCTCAGAGTCGATCTATGGAGTGAGTGCAGAACTGCCTTCCAAAGTCTGCATCCGATCTCGAGGCCGTGTTGACAGCCTCATGTCTAGCAAAAGTACGCAGAGAAGACCACATTGCAGCCCTGCAGGTATCGCTAAGAAACGCAGAAGATGTCACCTGAGCGCTCACTGAATGAACTCGCAATGACTGCAGAGGCGGCATCTGAGCCACTTCAGAAGCCGAGGTAATGCAGCAGTTACCCATTGGAAATGCTCTGCGTGGAGACTGGTTGTCCCTACATCCGCAGAGTAGGACAGTGGCTCTCACCTTTTACAGACGACTGCCCCCCTTTCAGGGCTCTGATTTGTCTGGCCTCCCCTCAAGTGTCACCTCTCCTAAAAACTACTTGCTAACAAAATCAGACATAAACATACAAAAGTGTCCCAGCCACTGTGACTGAACAACTGCTGACTTTCTCATTTTTACCATATAATTATAAAATAAATCAATTTCAAAATAAATATTGTACTTCCCTTGCAGTGTATAGTACGTAGAGCAGTATAAACAAGTCATTGTCTGAAGGAAGTTTTAGTTTGTACTGACTCTGCTAGTGCTTTTGATGTAGCCTGTTGTAAAACTAGGCCAATCTCTAGATGAGTTGATGGACCCCCTGGAAGGCCTCTGCGTACCCCCATGGGTCCACGTACCTCTGGTTGAGAACCACTGGCATAGGAGATAAAAAGGTGAGGTGATGAATGAAACAGCGTAGTCCTTTCTAAATAAAATGCCAAGCACCGCCTGACATCTAAGCTATGTAGCCGCTGCTCCTCTGCACTTGAATGTGATTTGGGAAAAAATAGACGTAAGTAAATAACCTGATCGCTGTGAAACTAAGATATGACTTCGGATTAAAATTTCGGGTGTGATCTTAAAACCACCTTGTTCTTGAAGAATTGAATGTGTGGAGGATCTGCCATTAAGGCCTGCAACTCACTAACTCTTCCTGCAGATGTTATAGCCACACGGAAGGCCATCTTCTGAGAGAGGCGCGCCCATGAACAAGTTGCTATCAGCTGGAACAGTGGACCCATCAGTGCCGCCAGGACCGTGTTAAGGTCCCGCAATGGGACCGTTTCTTTCATCAGTGGAAAAAGGGTAAGGTCATGTCTTTTATTGGACCGACTTCTGTTGGCGAGAGAGACACGCTTTCAAATTTGCGCACAGCTCTTCTTCAGGTCACTCTGTGTAAACTCAAAAGCTTGTCTCTCTCGCCAGCAGAAGTTAGTCCAACAAAAGATATTTCTTCACCCACCTTGTCTCTCTAATATCCTGGGACCATCAAGGCTACATCAACACTGCATACAGCTGGAGGAAAAAGACAGATAATACCTTTAAAACCGCTCATCACCATAGGGTTTGAGAATTCCTTGCATGGGAGGATGGAAAGCCGAGAGCGCCTCCAAGTGAAACTTCAGGGATCTCGGACTGAGGCCTGACGATTTCAAATGCAGCACCTACTCCACAAGGTCCTGAATCTGCAGTAACATAGGCTGGATTTGCTTGGACAAATGAGACCGCCTGCCTGCAAATAGCTGGGGCATAGATATGACAATGACAACAGACTGCCTAGCCGCATTTGACTAAAAGTAGGCGCAGAAGGCTTCCTCCTCCGTGATTTGTGCCTGCCTCGCAGTGTAGGACGGCTGACAGAAATATTGCTGAGGACAACATTGCTGCTGTTGTTGTTGTTGGTCCCCAGAATGCCATCTCTTTGCAGCCTGGATATAAATTCCCGATGAGCATAGGGTGACCCGGGAACCTTTGAAAGAGTGTAATGGCTCATCAGTTTTCTCTGAGGGTAAGAGGTGACCATCAAACGACAAGTCCTCTCTGCTTTGCTGGGTCTCAGGCACTACACCAGAGTTTTGTAACCATGACATTCTTCACATCGTTACAGCCGAGGCCACGCCAGGGCGGATGTCTTGGCCACTAAATAACATTCCATAATGAAGGACTTGAACCCCTCCCTGGAGGATTCTGGTAACTTGTCCACAAATTTGGACATAGTGTCCCAGTTCACAAAATCGTATTTTGATAACAGACCTTGCTGGTTTGCAATGCGCATCGGCAAGGAGACTTTTCTCCCCATCAGATCTAGCCTTTTGGACTCTTTTTTTTTAGACACAGATTTATATCCACCCTGTTTCACTCACTCATTTGCTGCTGTCACAACCAGGGAATTTGGAGCTGGGTGGGTGAAAAAGGATTCAAAGCCTTGCATTGGCACATAACATCTCTTCTTATGACTGCCATAAAGTGTACAAAGTTCTTTAAACAACTGCCACTCAAAAGCCTCTCCCTGATCTGTCAGCATGTTCACTGGGTACCCATACGGCTTTACAGAATGTGTCCAGAAGACCTGAGCCATAGTCTGCACTAACAAATCCTTCACAGGAATTGCCACCACAAATGTTGTGTAATGATCAGTCATGACAAGCACATAGGTAATTCTGATTTTAAATGATCTAACATCACCATTGCTATCAGTAGCATGCAAGGAGGTTCGATCAACACTACCAGCTTTATTTTTCAAGTTACATATTCACATTTCTGACACCACTGTACAATGTCCTCCTTCATCCCAATCCAACAGAACCTCTTTCTCAAGTTCGGTTCTGTCTCTTTATCTCCAAAATGTCCAAACGCATTGTGATAAGCTTCTAATACCGTCCTTACACTCTGTCTGGACAAGACAATCTGTATCGTCTCCTCCTTAGAGTCAGAATCTATAACCTTCCTTACCAACCTCCCATTCTCTTGGAGATATTTTTGTTGTCTCTGCAGTTTCACTACCTTAGCTGGTAACTTTTCCCAGCAATCAACCATCAGCACTCAATCTTTTCTTAGATGCCTTCTTAATTCCTGCGTTACCAGACTCCATAACTGAATTTCCTTCCACAGATCTTGATGTATGTCAAGTTCTATCTCTTCATTCCCAACCACACGATTAGCAATAAACCTGGATCTCTCGATAGGAACATTCAGAAACAGAGGCATTTCCAAATCCTCCTTTTCATCTGAGTCTTCATTTATAATCACCTTTTGTGGCAGCCTAGACAATACATCAGCATTTACATTAATACTGGGTCGTCAGTATTTGATGGTGAAGTTATAATTGACCAGACAAGAAGCCCACGGTTGTTCCAATGCCCCTAGTTTGCCAGTTTGCAAATATGTTGATGGGTTGTTATCTGTAAACACTTCAAATGAGGTTGCTGTAAAATAATGCTGAAACTTTCCCATTACTGCCCAGGCTAATTCCGAGAATTCCAACCGGAGTGAACTGTATTTCTCATCATTTCTTTGAGATCCCTTTAAGCTCCAGCTTTCGTCAGCAGTCGCTCGTGCGCTCCCTACCATCTTGCTCCTGAGCAAGGGGGGCTCCCTATCCTTTGTTGCTGGCATCTATATACACTA